TAACCAACCCACAAATTAACCAACACGCAGATTAACCAACCCACAAATTAACCAACACGCAGATTAACCAACCCACAAATTAACCAACACGCAGATTAACCAACCCACAAATTAACCAACACGCAGATTAACCAACCCACAAATTAACCAACACGCAGATTAACCAACCCACAAATTAACCAACACGCAGATTAACCAACCCACAAATTAACCAACACGCAGATTAACCAACACGCAGATTAACCAACCTGCAGATTAACCAACACGCAGATTAACCAACCCACAAATTAACCAACACGCAGATTAACCAACCTGCAGATTAACCAACCTGCAGATTAACCAACCCACAAATTAACCAACCCACAAATTAACCAACACGCAGATTAACCAACACAAAGATTAACCAACACGAAGATTAACCAACCTGCTGATTAACCAACCCGCTGATTAACCAACCTTCAGATTAACCAACCTGCAGATTATCCAACCCGTAGATTAACAAACTGCAGATTAACCGACCTGCAGATTAACCAAACTGCAGATTAACCAACTCGAAGATTAACCAACCCGTAGATTAACCAACTCGAAGATTAACCAACCTGCAGATTAACCAACCCGCAGATTAACCAACTCACTGAAAGGTTTTCTTCCTTGTGGTCTCATTAAACATGAGTCTGAAGCCAGGTTTGGGTGATATGAAGGCATTTTGTTTTACCGCAGTATGAAAATGACTGTATATAAAAATGACTGCATATAAAAATGACCATATATAAAAATGACTGTATTTAAAAATGACTGTATAGAAATGATGACTGTATACAGAGGTGCACATAGCCGGTGCGCTTGCGCTGTCAAAAAAAGAAAAAGTGCACCAGATGGGATGTCATAAAGCTCACTTGCGTACCTAAGATTGTACCTGATTGTCTGTCAAAACAACAGGGCTCTAGATTGCGACCAGTTTGGTCGCAAATGTGACCCTATTTCTTAAAAAATAAAAAATAAATAAAATCTAGCTGCACTGGTGTGACTGGATCGCTGTTTGGTGCTCATCAAGCCTCTAACAGCGGTTAACCAGATCCTTATGTCCTATGTCAGGACACAAGGATTAAACAGACACTGCCTTCAACAAATCAGACAAAGTCCAGAGCCGTTTTATCCAATCAGAGCAGAGCAGGGCGGGACTTTCAGTCAGAGCAGTTTTCAGCAGCGGCTGCAGTGATCAGTCCTGATATCTCCTCCTGCACTTTGCTCCTGAACTACCGGAGACTTTGGTCTGTAAAACCTAACTTTATATTAAATCTATGTTCAGAATGTTGTTATTGAACAGATCTGTCCAGGACTGTCATCCTGAGAGTCCTGCTGCTCTGAGTGACAGCATGTCAGAGCAGCAGAGAGTTTAACACCTAACAGTACATGCTCACAAACCCTTCATTAKTAATGAGTCAACACGCCACAGAGCCCCGCCCCCAGGTAGTGCTGTATATGGTGTTATTTTCTAAAGGTTATACGGTGGTGTGAAAATGACACGTGACCCCAGCAGCCGTACCTGACGTAAACTAAGAGGATGAGCTGTGGCTGTGCAGCGCTACATTTAGCCAGGATGCTGGTAGTGATGGTGAAGGCAGAGAAGCTGTTTGGAGGAGGGATGTTGTAGTACAGGGAGATCTGCAGAACAACACACACACAGTAACATGTTGGGAAGATAAACTGAGGGAAGYTGTGCAGAAGTGTGGAGGTTTCATGCAGGTGGGGGGTACCTGTGTCAGCACACAGCTCTGGCCCTCAGCACTGATGGAGTACTCTCCAGGCACCTGACTGAGCTGCTCCTCCTGGTACAGCAGCCTGTTGTCCTGGTTCACAGTGAACACTTGGTCCTGGCCTCCTGACGAGGACACCCTGACCGTGGTGGTGCCCTGAGGACTGTAGGTGGCCGCTGCATACCTGGCCAGAGCCTGGAGGGCCACCACCGAGTCCTGCAGAGCACAGGGGGCTGCTTTCAGTGGCTGCACAGTTAAAGACCCTCTGCCAACACCCAGAGTCCCGCCGTACCTGTGTGGAGGAGAAACCACCGTACGGGTTCTGCTGCTGGACCAGCCAGCGGACGATGCTGGACACGTTATCCAGACTGAAGCCCTGCAAGGGGGGAGGGGTGAGCAGAGCCAGCAGCACGTAGGAGGTCATCTCCACTTCTAGAGAGCCTGCACTGTCCCCAGAAGTGCCCTGCCTCTTCCAGTGCCGGGTGCCGCCTGCAACAGTTAGCATGTTAGCATGTTAGCA